ACAAGTGCCTTACTAGTAGTAACAAGTGCCTTACTAGTAGTAACAAGTGCCTTACTAGTAGTGACAAGAAGCTATTAGAAACAAGTGCCACGCTACTAGTAACAAGTGCCTTACTGGTAGTAACAAGTGCCTTACTAGTAGTGACAAGAAGCTATTAGAAACAAGTGCCACGCTACTAGTAACAAGTGCCTTACTAGTAGTAACAAGTGCCTTACTAGTAGTAACAAGAAGCTATTAGAAACAAGTGCCACGCTACTAGTAACAAGTGCCTTACTAGTAGTAACAAGTGCCTTACTAGTAGTGACAAGAAGCAATTAGAAACAAGTGCCACGCTACTAGTAACAAGTGCCTTACTAGTAGTAACAAGTGCCTTACTAGTAGTGACAAGAAGCAATTAGAAACAAGTGCCACGCTACTAGTAACAAGTGCCTTACTAGTAGTAACAAGTGCCTTACTAGTAGTAACAAGAAGCTATTAGAAACAAGTGCCACGCTACTAGTAACAAGTGCCTTACCAGTAGTAACAAGTGCCTTACTAGTAGTAACAAGAAGCTATTTAAAATAGGGTTTGGGAACCGGGCCCGGACCGCGAAGATGTCGGGTCCGACCCCTGCCATGGAGAGCCCCAAAAAAGGAGGAAACAATCTGGACCATCCTGTCTGGAGATCCCCAAGTAGTGCAGGGTAGCTACGGAATAGTCTATAGGGTTCTTCAAACCGGAACTCCACGCATTGCGCCCGTTCGTTCCGCACTCAATGGAAGTCGGAGACTCTGAAAGGCTGAAGAAGCTTCGTCTTCCAAACATCTAGTAGCAAGGTGCATTGCTACTAGGAACAAGGGCATCGCTACTAGTAGCAAGAAGCTACTAAGTTTACTAGTAACAAGGGCATCGCTACTAGTAGCTAAGTGCAGTAGTTTCTTGCTACATGCACTTGTTACTAGTAGGGATGCACTTAGCTACTTGCTTGGGGACATCACATTCGACGTGTAGGTCGTTGTTTCCCCTTCACTTGGCCTCACACAGTATAGAGTATGTATAGGTGTTACAAAGTATTGGACTCACACCACTCCCTAGGGACACCCTCTGAGACATGTACGGGCTTAGGTGTTTCTTCCACTGAGACATGTGACGGTGCCAGGGCCCTCAGGGTCAAGTCCAGGAGGATTGAGAAGGTGTTCATTTTTGTTGGACCAACACCACGGAATTTCGGATAATCAATGGACATCCCTTTTTCGAACTGTCCATCCAAAGGGTCGCAGCCCTTGGCCGCCCGTGGGCCCCTTCCTTCGGCGTTTTTGAGGGACTTTCATTTGCCAAGATTCAAGTCAGCGTACGCGCCCTTCACACGGAGCCGTGTCCGTGTGCTCCGTCGTGTCATTGGCACGGAGGGGGTGAGGAAGAGCACCTGAAGGAAGAAGGCGGCTACAAGCAACCCAGCCCCATGCAAAAACAAACTCTTAGAAAGGTGTCCTTTTATGCATGTGACTATGTGGTGAATGATATAACTTGCATAATAAAAGAAACACAAGAGGTTGCCCATCACCCAAAAACGCAAACTCCTGAGCTGTTTCTCTGGAAAATACAGGTCAACTGAACGTTCGACCTGTTCTTGTTGAGTGGAGAAACCACTTCCCCTAAAAAGCTTTTGCAGGTGATGTGCACTAATGCAGACTCTTGATGAAGAACACCCGCCCAACCTTGGATTGTAAATTGTAAAGCCTCTTCAGGCTTGTTTTATATATCATATGTATAATTCAAACAATAGATATTTAATAAACAATATTCAATATACGTTATACGTTATAATACTATTTGATAAACTTAATCAATAATCTACATTAGGCATCATTAGGGGCCCTGGGGGCCTGATGATCTCCAGCATCTCCGTTTTCACACGGCGCCTGGGTTCACAGCGGAACCCACCCACCACTGGGCTGCCCGAGCTGGGAGAGAGCAAGCAAGACACCTCGGTGAAGACGAATCCGGTCGCGAAGGAGGGGACTGGAGGGGTGTGGGCTCGAACCTGGTGACCAGGGCTGTGAACTCGCATCTGGGCCTTGTTGTGACCACTTCTGCGATGCTCTCAGCCTTACCTAGGGATCCAGTCGTACCGAACCTCAGGTTCGGTACAACTGGACCCGACCCTGGCCATGTCTCAGTGTCGAACACATAAGCCCGTACCGAAAAGAGGGTGGCAGTGGATCCCTAGGGAGCCTATACGAGACTCCTCTGTGTAGTTACTTTCATCCCTGGGGATCCAGTCGTACCTTCTCAGGATAGGTGAGACTGGGGTGGGTGCCCTGGTCGGGTCCAGGTGCCGTACCTGAGGTTCGGTACGACTGGATCCCTAGGGCATCAATTCTGCTATGTCAGTTGGACCCTGTTGGACACAACTTCCGACCGATTGTCCGGTGCAAACCGAGCTGCAGCCATAGGAGGTGCCACGTATGGACAGGTCTCCTGGTCGACACAAAACATGAGACCAGGGGAGCTGTGCTCAAAACGTGTGGCATCTGCCTATGTCGTAAGACTTTCCTTACGCAGCAGCTTACGCCTGGCTTACGCCACCACAATGGCAGCTTACGCGCACACTTTGCACACAAAGGGGCTTACGCAACACTTACGCGAACACAATCTTGCACCCGGCCACAGCGCCAGCTTACGCGCCATCTGTTTTCCAAGCAAAGCACAGCACACAGCAGGTTTGTTACGTCCGCGGCTGTAGGGCAGTGAGCAGCCAGGATTTCGTAGATGGTCTGGACAATGCTTTGCCTTTGGCGCCATTGCAAGTCAGAAAAAGCCTGCTTTTTAGGAGGCATCGTGGGCCACCGTCTACAAAAGAGAGGGGGGCTTACGCGCAGCTTACGCGAAGCTTACGCGCGCCTTACGCGTATTACCGACACCAAAACCGATAACTGCATAGTGACATAGTGTGTCTGACAACTGCTGGTAGACTTTATGGCTATGGGAGTTGTTTGTATGGCTATAGGAGTAATGTTTGCATGTGTTGACCCATAAAATCTCTGTCCTGATGCCTATGTCCTGTATATAAATGACTACAGGAACCCCAAGAACCCTTCTTTCTGTGGAGCCAATCACCTTCGACCATACCAATTGCCAAGAAAAAGATCCAATGCAAGGCTTCATCAACAAAGGTCTCCATAGAATTTCCAAACATTTCAAGAATACATGTGACATGTATGTTAAATTTCGACTTGCTTACGCGGCTTACGCAAGTTTCATCTCACAAAAAACGCTTACGCAACCTTACGCACATCAGAGTTTTGCTTACGCGAAGGATTCATATGACAAGTCCACTACTAAACATGAACAGGGAGGTTCTTAGCGCGGCTCAGGGGAGTAACCCACATCGAAGCAAAAACCGAACTGCGCCAGTGATCCCCAGTGGCTAACCCCAAACACTCCAGTCAATGAATGTAGGCCGGCATATATTTGTATGTCCAGTCATTGTTTTACTAACTCAGTAAAACCAGGTCAACCTGTCTTTTATAAAATTGTCTCGAATATGCAGCCTATAGCCTATAAGGCGCAATATAGAATAATATTTCAGTCCCATGGATTGCTGTGGGATTGGATCATCAACGCGTCGCTGGTGTTCAGGAGGAACACCTTCTGGGACGACACCCTCCTGACAGGGGGCCGAGCTTTTGGTTCTTCCTCTTCCTCTTTCAGGGGCCGATCACCACCTGATCGGCCCTCGAACCCCTCGAACCTCGAACCTCGGATCCGAAACGAACCCGATGCATCGCAAGAGCTGGATATGACGACCACGAGTTGGGGGTTTGAGGGTTCGAAGCCACGAGTCGAAACACGTCGGCTTTTTGGGCTCGGACCGAATCTCATCTCTCCTCATGGCTCTCGATGTCTTTGGTGTCTTCGCTGTCCACCCCACGACCGTCGTGGAAATCGCTTGCTGCCGGGCTAAGGAGCCGGAAGATGCAGCTACGGGTAGCGACACAGATTCAACGCGTTCAACGCGGCGTATACATAGCGTAAGTAACATCACGAGGCGTATCCGATTGGATGGAACATGCAGTGGAAAGCTGACTCCCTCCATTTCCCATGAACAAACAGTTTAACCTTCTTCCATCCGTTCTTATTTAGTGGCGACACCAATCCCAACCAATCCCAACCAATCCCAAAACAGGTGACCTGCAGGTGATGTGCACGATGGGTAGGTCATGCTCCCTCGAAGTTCGGTCGGTTGAGAGCCTTCCTCTGCAGACCCATCTGAGACCTGTGATGAGTGCCGTCACATTGGGTGATAACAGAACTTTCTAATCAAAAATTAACATATAAATAACTTCATGGTATTTTTGGCAAATATATTCATTCATATTATAAGGAAAAGGCAAGCAGTGAAAGGACTGAACCTTCAATCAGGCAATTGCTTCAGTACTGAACGCTTGAAGCGAAGATTGGCACCACCTCGATCCACCGAAACCTCCAAGAAAGAAGACCCACAGGTGGTGGTGTACGGCCTACATGACATGACTGAGGGTTTTTGTTGGTAAATGTATCTACATGCTTATGCCATCTTGTACCTGGACCTAACCCGTCATACCCTAGGAAATGGGCACATGACCCCATGCAACAGTCGACACGATATCGTCCCGGGCCATGGATTTGTCCCGGTGGTCGATGAAGGGATCCGCCTTCCAGACTTCTCCAGCAGATCCACGGCCCAAAAGGCTCTCCTGTGGGTCTGACTCCCTCCATTTCCCTTGCTTAAAGAAAGGGTGAAGCTTTTTTGATCTGAAACCATTCTCCCCCAAAGAGGGCTTCCATTGGTGAACCCCTTTAGAAGGTGGGTGGTTCGCCATCATGGTTCTGAGTGACTCGTGAAACGATTGGAACATGTTGGAACCAGCGAAGGACGCTCCACCTGGTCATGTTTAGTGGAAATGAATCCCCCAAAAAGGTACCAAAGGATGTTAAATGCTTATCCACTGACTGGGTATAGGAGTTTCCCGGCAAGTGCTACTCATGCGAACTTTATGGGAGGTGTTCTTCTTTGCTCAGCTCTCTGTTTGCAGGGACATGGCCATCTCGCCCTAGCTGCTTCAGTCTCCGCCTTCTATCACCACCTGCTGAAATTCTAGCTATAGAGTGACACCTGCCGCCACACGTGCCGGTTTCAGCGGTTGTAGGAAGGATTGAGGTGGTTTCACCGGTTGTTGCAATCGAGTCTGCAGATCCTCATCTCGTTGGCCCTCCGGGAGGTCTGGGACCTCGCCCAGGAGACGACGCCCGACCATCCAAACCTATGCCAGTCCCACCTTCTCATGGTATTTGGATGTATTTGGAGCCCTCTAGGGGTTGTAGAATGGTCTAAATCCCAACAACCATTGCCTTTCTAATGATTCAAGAGGGCAAAACCAGGTCAACCAAACTCTTTTGTCTTTGAAGCCTAGGGCTTGCAGGGCTTGCATGTCTGTGACTTGAACCAGTTATGTTCAATTTTGATTGCTCAACCTCGCCCGTTTGGATTGTAAAACCATGTAACGGTTTCATATGGCGGTTGACACTTATTACATGCATAATCATTTAGCTTTGCTGCTGGCAAGGAGTCACGCCGACCATGGCTGATTTGAGGAGAACCTGAGTTAACAACTGGACTTGACATGAGACCAGACTGGTTTCTATTCCTGTCAGAAACTACTGTTGAAGAACTATGCACAACTAAGCCGCCTGAGAGTGTTCTTTTAAACCCCATGTCCAGTTCCAGCGTGACATCAAAGGTCTAAATGGCTGAGGAAAAAACTCTTCCATCACCATCAATCCAACAACTCACCCCCATTTTCAACGCGGCATACGACCATCACAACCCCTCCGATCCCGCAAAACCTCTGAGAAATTGAAGACATTAAAAGCAAACCACAAGAGCTCCACGACACACACACCCGCGCACGCACGCGCGAGACACGGCAGCTCCAGTTTCAAAGGCATCCGAGGAGTAAGGATGCCTCCAGAGTGTGTCAGGGAGGACTGGGAGCACCAAGCAGCACGATCCTCCGATATCCCAAAGAATACCTGTACCACGGATTCCGGGTGTTCAGTTAATATGCATCACCCTCGGTGTGGAAGAAGTCGATTCTCAACGGAGTTCTCACCCTAAGGTATTGCTAGCTGCTAGCTGAGATGTAGCTCATGTGGGGATGATGAGGGCGAACCTCACACAGGAGATACAGGAGATGCGGTGGTTTCCTTAAGTGAGTGATCATTAATCAGCCTTCCAACCTAGCTTCCAACCACCCCGAAGAGAGAAAACTTCCATGGCGTCACTCCTGCACATGCTTCTAAGCTCCGGCCTTCCAAGAAATCCGTCTCTGTCGCCATGGCGAACGCAACGGCCTTTGTTTTTTAATGTTTTTTCCAGCGTCAATACTTCCGACAGCTGAGATAGCCTACCAGCAGACGACTGGTGGATGTCATGCTTTTCTCCGGGCGTAGCATGGACGACGAGCTCGAACCTTTCAGCATGGGTGGCCAGTGGATGCACATCCGCCCTGGGACATCCACAGGGGTCATCGTTTCCAGCTTGATGAGAAGATGCCTGGAGTACCTAGCGGAGACACCGGCTCGCACCGATGTGAGCTATGGGGCTGACTGGTTGACAGGACCGACTGACCTGACTGACCCGTCTCGTGACCCTACAAAGAACACGTACGACCGGGGGCCCCATTTTCCGCGGTACTTGCAGGGTCCAGGTTTTGCTTCTTCTCCATTCTTGTCAAGAACAGTTCAGGTCATTCATGTCTGCTCTCCATTCTTGTGTCTCTTCCTTTGGAGGCTACAGCTGGAGCGGCCGCGACGGCAGGCGGAAGTTGAAGAAATCCTCACCTGCTAGTAAGTAGAAAACCCTGCAAAGCATCAAACACATATATATTTTGATAATGTGCCATCTTTATGTTCCACTGCTCCCATGAACTTCCTGTAATCTCCTCCTCCCATGTGCCATCTTTATGTTCCTCTGCTCACTTGTGTTCCTATGGTTTACATCCTGTGTGCCATCTATGTGTTACTATTACTGTACCCTTCATATACCCTTTGACGCACTTGCAGAACGCGAACATGGCACACATGTAAAATTTTACATGTGCCATATTGCAGTGAGTCGCTATATATGTGTTATAAATGTCTTTCACATAATATATGTTGATAATGTTACTTAAAAAAAAAAAAAAAACTGCTATATAGACTTTATAAGAAGCTTAAGATGCTTTAAGATAGAACTCATCTGCTCTGTCGCCCCTGGAGGAAGGTCCTCACAACAGGAACTTGGACGAATGATCCGCCTGGGATGCCCATCAACTCCAGCTTCAATCCACAAAATGCCACAAACCCTCATAGGCCTATAGATGGAAGGAAGTTGGGGTGTCCTGTCTGGAGGTCCCGTATAGTGGTGGGCTGGGGCTTCCATTGGGCACCCCTTGGAAGGTCCTGGTAGGATTCGGATTTTCTTTTGAAACATCGAGCTCCCATGACTGTTCCACACTCCAGTTTGACTGACCAACCATGGTGGTTTCTTGTCATCTCCTGATCTCATCTGACCTCTGTACGTAGGCGGAAACGGACGTCAGGATCAGATGGCTGAAGAGTCATCAATCGTTAAAAACCGGTCGACCAATCACTTGGATTGGCTTGTTTCGGAACCGGGAAAACCCAAGTCTTCCCCATCCAGTGCAGGAAAATATAAACAAGTACGTACATAAGCAAAACTTCTCTTCAAACAGATCCAGAGATCCGGCTACAAACTCTGGACCCCAATCCCTGGACCATGTTCTTCCGTCTGGGTGCTGTTGAGACTGCAGTTGAGAAGTAAAACAATTGCCGTTGCTCGACTGCGACTCGACTGGACTCGCGGCCCGAAAATCTCACACGGCGTACGCCATACACCGGAGGTGTTACGGGCCCCCCCAATGGAAGAAGATCCTGCACCATCTGGGCGTTTTGGCGAAGGTCATGGGTATTGGCGGTACCTGTTGGGGCAGTTCCAAGTGGTGCCATCCTTCTTCCTTACAACAACTCCGTTGCTTGCGGAAACGATCTCAGGTTTCACAGGAAACCCGGTGGTTGTGGTCATGCAGTGGCCATATCTCCTTTCTGTATCCATCCCTGAAAATCGAGTCGTAAGCTCTCGGGTTCGGTCGAACTGGTCTCTGGCATCAGGGTCTCCAGTCCCACCCCTAAGGGTCCAGGACCATCCTGAGGATATCCTTTGACCCCCCAAGACCATTCTCTGGAAGTACTTTCACCTTCAAGACCATCCTCAGGAGGTACCTGGACCCTATGGGCACCTTACCTCAGAGGGCAGTGGATCCCTAGCCCTCTATAGACTCTAGGGTATCGTTCGTGAGGTCCACTCTCTTCTCCGGGGGGCAAAAGGTCCTCAAAGCTGTCCGCCCGGTGCCGGCGGAAGACGAGCACCTCGATGGACTCGACAGCTGCTTTGGGAGACGGCGCGCGAGACCGTTCGGTGTGAGACGGTGTGTTTATTTTTCTTTGGGAAACAATGGATGGGAGTGTTTGCAAGGGCCAAATGGTTCTTGCTCTTACATTCCCTAGGGCTCCTGGCCCATATCCTCAAAAGGTGGGCACACCCAGGAGATACTTGGAGCCCTAGTAACTAGGCATTGTTCTTCTTTTTGGTTAACCCGAAACTGCTGATTGATTCACGGCTGCAACTTCAAGAGACGGTCAGTCTCAGACGAATATGGCTGGCTTATGACCATCCCCTGGACGATGATGACCAACTTAGTTGAAGGTCCATGTCAACGACGATGCCAGATCGATCCAACCAGCACCGCCCCAGAGGGTGGATCGATCGATGCCCGTGGCATGGCCCGAAATCACTCGAAAGAACACGGATGCTTGTCGTCGTGTCGAATGAAATTCTAACAAAAACCGGGACAAATCTCCAATCGGGTGCAAATCACCCAATTTCGCCTTTCTGAAGTTGTTGGACGATGAACAATCGAATGTCTGGTGCTCCGTTGGTCGCCATTGGGCATGCTGAAGAGAGCTGACAGTGGGACTGCCACGCTGCCAGCTGTCTGCTTGGAGTTGAAACCTTCTTCGTGGTTCTGTGTAGATTGCCCTTTAGAAACCACAATAGTCAAAGAGTTGAGACCATAACAAGTCTATGTTGCTTTGTGCTTTGTACCAACTTCCTGGATCTCAGCTATACAGCTATCACTTGCCGTCTCGACTCCTCCCATCCGGGGCCCGGGCCACATCCAGATCCGAACGCCCCGACTCCCGTGGGAGCTTCAGGTCCGTGACTAGGCGGGTCTCCGCAGACCGCACGGCGAGGCGACGGCCGGGGCGGAGGTTCCAGGACGACGAGGCGACGGATCCTCCGAGACGTGGAGGTGGAGGTCCAGGGCCGTCCTACCGCCCCTAGGGAGGGAGGTTCATAAGCACCTTCTCAGGTGGGTGGGCCAGCCCTGGGGGGCTGGGGATGGATCCGAGCCGAGCCTCTGAGGTGAGGACGGAGACACATGTTAGCTGCCAGGGTCGGGTCGGTAGGATCCCTAGGGCTTTTTGTCGCTTGGACCACAGTCAGAATTGTTGGGGGGGTGTCCGACATGTTGTCCATGTGCATTCTCTGGAAGTCCCCCGGGTTTCCTTTGAAGGAGAAAAATCATCACCCACGCAAAAAAGCGGGCTTCGAAACTGAAGACCTGACCCAGTCAACCCACCAGCCGACGTGTGGAACACTGCTCGACTCAACTGACTGGTCGACCAAAGTCATCACTAGGAGACCAGTCAACACCTGGACTCTCCTACCCAAGAGAAAATGACACCCTCCAGCATCTTCAGTTCGTGACCGAACTTGAAGGTTCCTATATTGTCGTGACCCAAACAGGAGGCTTGTTTGTGACCTCAAACATCGTCAAACCAGGTTATCAAGTACGGTCACTTTGAAGAAGCAGACCCGGCTCCCGAACACGTGGGTCGAAGTCGGTCGCTTTTTTCTCGGTGCAAGAAACCCCGGTGACCAACAAAGGCTGAAGGACCCTGAAGGACCCGGCTGTTCGACTATCCCATACCCAAACACTGCGGACTGTCATATTGGCCTACATTGAGGTGGTTTGGGAGGTTCAAGGTAGGCATACCTGGATCTTCCAACCCTTTCCAATCTATTGAAAAAAAACTTTAAAGGGATAAACTGCCTAGTTGATCCTATAGTTGGAAGATCCAAGTCTATGGCAGTCCCATTTGGAGTGTTTGGGATAGGTGAGTATAGGGCAGGGTCCTATTTTTCTTGGTCGGTCACCAAGTCACCGCCTCTCCCCTCCGGTTGCTTGGCTTAGCCGAAGTTGCTAAAGGAGCCGAAGGGTTCCAAGAGGAAGCCACCGATGTGTCCAAAGACGCGCGGCAGCTCCTGGCCACGCCACGCTGTTTGCGCGCCGCCGCGCTGGTGGGAGCGCGGTTCATGCAGCTGCATGCGGTCGGTGCCGCGTGGTTTGGTCGGCCTCCGCCGGGGTTTTGGAGGGGTTTTGAACACAAAGAAGTGGCGGTTGTTTGGAGCATGTTTTGCGAAACAAAGGAGCTATAAGTGCTGAGCTGAAGTTCTGGAACGACCACCAAGGAATCTTCAAGAGCTATGATAGAGGTTTAGCTCTGCAGGTTATGTATTTCCCTTAAGGTCCAAGGAACTTCTCAGATGGTACTCCAAACCTACATAACAGTGCCTCCAATCACCTTCTCGAAGGGAAGGTGGATCCCTATAGGGTGTGTTTCTTGACCTATCTTTTTTGGTCGGTGGAGTGTGATGAGTGGCCAAAGCTGATTCTTTGTTCTTTGTGTGTCCCGACTTCTTCGCACAGAAATCGGATGACATACTATACCAGCACCACAGATTCCGGGTGTCCATGAAATAGCCCCGAAACGAAGGGTGTCCATTAACCACTCCTTGGTGGCTCCATATATACCTGGAGTCTCCAAAGTAACCTTAGAAAATGGCACATGACCCCATGAAAAACAAGTACAGGACATCGGACCGGGGCCCCCATTACGAGTTCGACTCCAGGTCGTCACGGCCACTTGGCCGAGCGACCTCGACGCTGCCAACACACGCCAACACTCGCTCAGCCGCAGCAGTTCTTTTCGCTCGCAGGGCTCTGAGGCACGGAGACCTGTGAACCTCGGTTTCGTCCAAAGCCCGGTTTCGAGCCCGGTGAACCGGTTTCGGGTGGTGGAAAACCGGTGAACCGGGGCGCCTGACGACACTGACACTGTGCCACCAAATCCCAGGAGAGTTGGATGAACACATCGATGGGTACCTGTAAAATCCTGTAAACACATGTAAACACCTCAAAATGGCTGAAAAA